GATGCAAAGAAGAAAGACAACAATAACAACAAAAATCACAAAAACACAAAAATCATACAGTTCCCTATTCTTGGGCATGTGTTGCTGACATTGTGCACACCTTGAAGTTGGTTGGTTGGTTTTTAAATGTATACAAAATTAATACCCAATTTCAAAGTTTTAATATTGTTTTTTTTCTAATTTCATCTTTATTTCCATGCAGAGCCTGAAAGGTTAGATCAATGTGGCATTTCAACCTCTAGGAGATGGTCTCATCTGCATATGAGAGGGGGGGGTGGGATTGTAGCTCCATAGCATTGCCTTTCTATTTATAATATTTATATATATATATATATATATATATGTAAAGTGACCCACTGTACAATTTGGCAAAGGAGCAATTGGTTAATCATTGGCATCTCAATTGGGCAGGGATTTTGACTTTGTGTGACAGGGTGTGGTCTATTGGTGTGCATGGGGGGGGGGTCCAGTCACTCACTCCCTAAGCCCTAGAAATATTGACAAAACAAAGTGTGGGAATAGGTCTCCAGCTCAGGGCTAGGGTTGCTGCTCAATTTGGAAAGCTTGTTTCTTAAGTAGCTCACAACTGTCAAATGTGGTATGCACAACATGAGGCAGCTGCAAGTTGGGGGCCTCATTGCAGCTACACTCTAAGCACCAGGGATTAGCTCACATTGGGGGGGGGGGGGTGTGTGGATAAATAAATAAATAGTAATGGAATTGTTGCCCTGTTTTTTGGTTACAAGTTGCAGGGCATAAGAGACACCTTGTGTGTTTTTTGGAACCTGTAAAGTTGTGCATTCAAATGGATTGAGTGCTGCTGGTTGGTGCATCTGTGACTTTGCACTGAGGAAGCTGCACAACACTGCAGAATGGTATCTACAGAGAGGTCACAATGGAAGCAAAGTGAACATGCTGTTTTCAGAAATTTCACATCCTCTGAAGGATGCACAAATTCATGTAATTTTCCCCCTTCCATCCTCGTATCATTAGAATTCCTGTTTATGTTTAAATTGCATTTACTGCACAAAGCTGTTAAACTCTTCTGTGATTGGTTGAATTTGTGGATATTTCTAGATGATTGTCTCGGTAAGTTCGGGTGCCCAACTTGTGATTGACGATGGAAGAAGTAAGTGACTTCTTGATTGAGGATTGTAATCTCACCTTTCAGACCAAAAATGAGTTCAATTATTCTTCAATGCAAAAGTTGTAGATGATTCATTAGGAACATTAAATAATTGTCACAAGATTGGCAATCAATTTTTAGATAATGATGGTACTAGAAAATCAAACCATGAATAATGGCTTCATTGAATGTATATGCTGAAGAATTTTTAATTATGTTTCTTAAAAGATGGTTGAAATAAATGTACACTATTATTAATTAGAAAAAGAAAAGTATGTAAACCATGTCATTCAAATATTAAACCAATTTAAATATATATTAGGTGTAGACATCAATTGAACCAAATTGAAATCTCCATGGTTCCTTTATTTTAGGTAGAATTGGATAAAACTACAAGATGTTAAAGATATTTTGGCCAATTTTTTGAGACACATAATATCAACAAATTTTTAATAAGTAGGATCAAAAGAAATCATATTATTGGCACTACTCCAAACTTGATAAAAAAACTAAGATTGTAAAGAAATATCAGAATTCAATGATAATATTATAATCAGTAGAAAAGATAGAATAATACTCAATGAGATTATATTCCATGTTTTTCTAGCTTCATAATCTTAAAAAAATAAGAATACTTGTACATTACAATTCTATATTTGTTTGCACATGATCGAAAGTGTTAAGACATTATGAGCCTATCTTCTATATGCTTATTAAAATAAGGTGGTAGAAATATTATATATATATATATATATATATATATATATATCTATATATATATATATATATCTATATATATACATATATACATACATACATACATACATATATATATATCTATATATATACATATATACATACATACATACATACATATATATATATATCTATATATATATAGCTTAATTAGAATTAAAATTATACATTTGGAGAAAAAATAACAAGATGTTAATACAATGGACTTTTGATTAGAAGGATTGCAAGTACACTTAAATATTTGCAAAATGCTCATTGACTTAATATTAAAAATAAATATTTTTCTAAAAATGATTACCTATTAAGTTAAATTAGAAACATAGAGTTATACTTTTTACAAGTTATTTTTTAAGTTTAGAAAAAAATATTTTTATTATTCATATATTTATGGATTTTAGGAACCTATTGTAGTTGAAAATTATAGAATGAGTGGAATATATATCTTAATAAAAACCAAGGTTTGTAATTTTAAAATGCATATGAATGAGAAGGTGATTTAATTTTTAATTTCTTAAGATATTTTTTAAGATATTTTTTGATGTGTAAATACTATACCATTTTAAAGTAATGTGTCTTTACATGGTCTTGTTATCTATAATCAATTTTTATGATTCTTAAACTACTAAGGTAAGCCAAAATAGATAGAACATTTTAATCTACATACATTATGTATTTGAATGAACATCCATTACTTGTATTCATTATCCTTAATTCTCAAATTTGGTGTACATTCCTAGTTACACACACATAGGTCAAAATATTATATTAAGCTTCTATATGTAGAGGGCAATTTGAAAACTTTTTACTATGTTCATCATAAGAAAAGACTCCATGGAAAAAGAAAAAAGAAAAAATGACATATTGATCAATGGAGAAAATAAATATTATAGAAATAAGTTATTAATAAAATATATAAGGAAAGAGAAATAGAAATTAATTATTGAAAAATATCAATCTACAATTTTATTTGTGTAAACAATATAAAGAAGCTTTGAACTATATGGATTTTAAAAAAAATTATTTAAGATATTCTACTATAAATAGAATATAATTTATTTTGAACAATTAACATTACTAGCTTTGCTTAATTAATCCAATTTTTTGTAAAAAATTATTTACAATGCATGCAAATGGATCTTTGTATTTAAAATTCTCAAAATCAACTAGTTATTTAATGCTTTCTCTAATTTCTAATTTACAAGTCTCTTAAAAGAAATAAAGAAAAAGTCCAAGTTAACCTTAAATTCTTTTGTGAATTAATACAATATAGTAAGTGTGCAATTGAAGAAGCTTAATAGGACCTCTTTTTGTGAGGTAAATAAATATATATATTACAAGTCTAATTAAGACGTGATTTTTTATTTAGTTTGGTTTTTCTATTTATTGACTAATTTTATAAAACTAAAAAATATTAGTAGCTTATAAATCCATGAAGATAATTGTTAATATATATATATAAATATATTTAAATACGGAATAAATATTTTTTAATATTTTTAAAAATAAGAATTTAAAAAATACTCTATTTTTAAATTAGAAAAGCCATATAAAAAGAAAAAACTATTAAAAAAAAATTTACAACTTACTTATCTAATTAATCTCTATATAGTGTATGTATAGATTGTTTGCTATCAATAAATCTAGTTTTCTATCTGGTTCTATTTCTATTTTTTTTTTTAATCACATCCTTCAATATTTCAATCATAAAAATACTTTGACTATACATTGTTAGAACATGCATATTCTCTATCTAAGAGCAACAAATGAATATGATAATTAGTTAAGATGATGGACTTACATAAGAATAGAAAAGATTGTGTAGAGAAGATTTTTAAAACACAACAAAAAAACATGTTAGCTTAAGACTGTAGAATTGAGACTATAAATAAAATATTCATAAAAAAAATAATAATAATAAATGAAATTTATCCGTTGCTTAAATCAATTATATGACTCCTATTCTGAGCAACAAGGTTTCTGTTGCTGTGATAAGCACTGTATTTTGAGTGGTCATGAGATACCAAGATGAATCAATTTAAACCCAAAACCCTAAAACACTGTGAATGAAAACGTAATAAGCGTGCAATAGTGTTTAAGGTGATGTTTCTGATGTGTTATTAGCTAAAGCAGGATTCCTTCATGACAGACGTCCTCGAAGTAATCTTTGAAAATTGATTCACTGTATCTCTAATTTCTAATTCGAAATGTTACTGCACTATTGATGAGATGTTAGAATACCTGACTCGGCTGAAGCCAGTGTTTAGAATGAGTACCATAGCATACAAAATGAATTGCCATACGCAGCAACAATAGACAGAACTCAGGACAACATCTCTACCGAACACCAACAGCAAATGCATTACTACTCCTCACAAACGTGTGCACTGGACATGGCCAGATGTTTCCCGACCTGTAGAGTTTACTCCCGACAACGTGAATCTTGTTCTTGACACTGCGCGCACGTTTTGATCGCGAACCTCTAATCTTATACACGAAAAATTCTCTTCAACAGACTCCCTTCGAATCGCTACTTTGCAGCTGAACGATAATAACCTAAATCGCCACTACAATTGTTCACAACATCAAACGCTCCAAGTGGCATCCACATTCTCGGAGAGGTTTAACTTGAAGCTCATTTCATCTGATTGACTTGCAGTTCCTCGATGAAACCGTCGGTTTTTTGCCGATCTAGTTGCGTTTGTATAAGTAAACTTGATTTGATTTATCATACTGAAATGTCGAAAAAAAACTTCTGCAAACTAGTGTCGCTAGTCTTCAAGTTCACCGAGATGGATTATATAATGTGCTAAGCAAGCATCCCTCAACGTAACAACGGAGTATAGGTGGGAGCATAAAATTAATTCATCGATGCTGTTTTCAGGCCCCGAGAGCATGTGGAGTACAACCATATATCTAGCAGACTCTAGTGGATGGCAACAAGTGTAATTCCAAGCAGTCCGAACCTATGGCCGAGACAGAATTGAAGTGCACTATACATTGTTCTAAAGCCGGATATGCTGCAGAAATCTACACGTAGAAATTTTCAGCAGCGTCAAATGCAGAAATGTCCGACAGTTACAAGTCTAATGAGAGATATCACAGCTCATTTGTGCGTGTACATGGTAAACAGCTTCAAATCATACTCTGCATGCTTATTTGCAGATCATAGCCCAATGTGAATTAGAAAAAATAACAAGGGTTGTATGATCGTAATGCTACAGAAAAATGAATATCGACAACTTCGTTTCAATACTATGTATCCTTCTATCTATGCCTACTGGTCATACTGGCAAAGATCTAGCTGCACACAATCATTGCTGAGAAGCGATAGCAGGTACAATGAACTATCACGTACGTGCGGTAGGAATTAGGAGTGTACTCCCCTCTACAACTTGGAATGCGGTGCCCATAAATTCTGAGTCAGCACAGGCTTCAGGTATTCCTCGTAACCATCCACGACCACAGTGTCATTTAATGATTCTTTAAATGCACCCTTGTAGAGATGAGTATAGACATCACCATCGTACCGCCCTAAAGCTGAACCCAGATAGTCATCAGTGTGGTCAAAAGCATCAACCAAGGCGACAGCGTTTGGTCGAATCTGCACACACCCAATTATGCAATATTAACAAACAATATGAGAAACTTTCCGGATTCGTCAGAAACACCAGCAAGTTTTCTGTTGAAACCATTCCAGACATCACCAGCTCAAATAGGTGAAAGAAACCGCGACTTCTTGCTCCAGAAAGAGCTCGAACAAAGACTTACATGACCCAATTGGATTGCATCTCACCAGCAAGTTGGTTGTAGTGAAAAGAACATGACAACTAACCTTATCAAACATGTGCTTCAATTCTTCCTTAGCAAGTGCAATTTGATTTCCTGTCACATAACCTGTCGCCAAGAAGTCTCCTGCATTGTCAATCAACTGAGAAAAAGCATACGTGTAGCATAAGACTTCCAGCTGCTTCCTAATGCCCTCTGGTGTTCCAGTTTGTAATTGTTCAATAAACCTGGTCAAACCCGCCAGTCAACCACATTTTTCTTAGAAATAACCTCTAAGAGCAAATCAAGAATTAGAGTGAACATTCAAAAGCATTTAAATCAGTCAGAATAATGTTAAATATGAGAACGATTCCTCCAAAACAACAAATTTACAACATACTGGTCTAAAATAGAATATAGGTACAAGTCATTCCAGTAGTTCACATGTGCCTGAGAACCAAGAGCATGTGATATTTGCGTGAGATCAGTTGAAAATTGTAGTCTATTTTAATGCAACTGTCGGAAAACTGAATTCGCTACTTACTTAGACACTAGAATCAATTGGCAATGAGCACGAGCTGATTCCACCAGTTCAGGCGTGTTTTCTTGGAATTCTGTCCAAGATTTTTAAACATAGAAATTAAAAGGTTGCAAGAACATAAACCATTACAGGGAATTCCACCATGTTTTCATTTACTGCATTTTGCTTCATAAGAGACAAATCGCACATTGAACAAACGCCATATCTACCTAAAATCCGCACACAGTACAAGGGTGACAGTTCCTATTCCTCAAAGCTGTTAGCAAATAAGAAACAATACAAGAAGAGAATTAAAATCATAAAAATAAAAAAATAAAAACCCCCAAGAGTTGAAATACAATGAGTGTTTCACGTCAAAAAGACACATCTTGCAGCATCTTGGAACTGTCGACACAGTGAAATAACCAACAAGCGTGAATCTGCATAAAAGAATGTAACACACCAGCTTCTGATCCCGATCCCTTGGCCAAACGCAAAGCAACTGCAGCTGCTTGACGGGCAGACCTTGCCTCGAAAGCCTCCAATAAAACCGATGTATTCAGCCAATCGTGACCTGTGCAAACAAATAAAAGGTCTTGATGATAAACTGCTCTAAATTTGAAAAATGCGCCTATAATAATCAAACGCTTTAGAGATATATAACAAGAAGTTTAAACACCAATCCTTACACTTAGATTTCTACTCTGGTTAGTCCACATAAATTAGTGTACCTTGGGAAACCTTGCAATTCTGGGTCGAAAGCTGCTTGATATTTCCCAAGTACGCCGCAGTACCAACGGGTCGTACTTTGCTAACCTGTGATAGGGTCTTTAACAGGAAACGTGCGACCTGTTCCGACAAATATCCGTCCGTCAGAGCAGCTCTGTTGGGAGGTTATGTAGAACAGCCACATGCAGATCCAAGGAGAAAAAACTTAATCTAGTTAAATTGTCCCAACAATTGAGACTGCTTTGTTTCATTTGTTTTAAGAGAGCTAGTAGGTAATCGCAAGTAAAGTACGATAGTTGTACAACATAAAAGTTGTACAATATCATACACAAGGAAATGACAATCGTAAGAAAAGTAGTCTTCGATTCCTGGACATGTCTTTTCAACCACAAAGGAACAAACTAATGTAAACCTGCAGATTTTCAAATGGATAGGCATAAAGCAAGTACTTGAAGGAGAAGTATCGTATTGTCTCCTTCGTATGTGCAGGCAGGCACGTAGGCAGCATAGAGTTCAGGTAAGCCACTTGCACACAGAAAGCCATGTCCTCCACAAAGTTTGCGGCACTCTTCTATACCATCCTGTTAGAATTCAACACCACAATTTACAATCTCATGCATATGAAGCCTCTTTTTCATCAAAAACAAGTGAGCTTCTCTGAATTAACATACAGAACTGGAAACATAAAGACCGTAAAACTTACAGCGGTGACAGATGTTGTTATAGATTTCAACCCAGCAGTACAAGCATGGACCTCCGGCAAGGTAGAAAAATCATTATCATTCAGACGCTTCATGACGTCAGCGTATAATGATTTCATCCAGAAACCGACGGCGCGGTAAGCATACGCAGTTGCCAGCAGTGGAAAGAGCCGAGATTGCTGTGTTCTGTATTGTATAACCTGTAGTCATATTATTTAATTTAATCTCAAAACTGTACTTCAATGTGATTAGGAAAAAAGACAACTCCAAAAGAACGAAGATATGGCTTAAGGATTAACATGTCCAAATTCAATCATACCCCGCCAAACTATAAATTCGCTTAAATATGCTACGAACTCAAACAAGTATTCCCGATGCCGTGTTAATTTTGTGAAAAATAAATCCTCGACTTCTTTAAAAACCTATTGAGGTGTCAGGAAATGAAACCAAGACTAAGACATTATTTCAAGTGAACGAAGACATCAATAAATTGCAATGACGTGTACTAAAGTCAAAAACTAACCTGGAGTTCACCAGGCTCGTCTTTATTGCCAAACTGACGACGTACAGCACTATAACGAACAGCAATAGTGACTGCACGAGAAAGATAAATAGAGGCATCAATAACAATGCCTTGACGAACAAAAACCATAGCTCCGTAACCAAGTTGACGTGGCTTGTTCGATCGCACGTATTTCCCGTCTTTTGTAACAGTCGCTAATCTGACCAACCCAGTTCAACATTCCAAAGAGATGAGAATTACATTATGTTACTATTAACACATCCCATGACAAACGCAAGTAGGTCAGTATTCATTAAGTGTAACAATAAATTCTTCAGCCCTTCAAAAATTGAATAAAACACGGACAATTGCGAATGACCACAATACAATATTCATAATGGATGTGTTATTTATAAAAAAATAACCCTGTAGCATCAATTTATTATAATTAAATAAACATGTTTAATTACATTGAATCATACAACCTCTTGGAAAAATATCCAAGGACATACCTCATAAGCATATTTTCTCGTGGTATGCGAACGTGATCAAATCGTAGGAATCCATTGTCCATAGTATTGTATCCACCGTTGCCAAACTTCACACCAATGTCTCCAACAGTGACATTGGGCAGCGGCGTGTGGTCCTCCAAACTTCGAATTGGAGCAATAAAAGCTGCATGAACAGAAATCCATCACCTCACTCCAAAGAAGAGAGCGGGAGAGAGAGAGAGAAAAAGAGAGAGAGAGAGAGAGGGATGTTTTGAAGATTATGAACAAAGTAACTATTACTCTCTAAAATATAAAGTAACGGAAAGATGGATCCAAGTGAACAACAGCTAAGAAGCAACCTTCTGCATATACGGCATCAGAAAACTCAAGCAAGGAAGTAAGAATATTACCATGAATACCGTGGTCTTTCTTATCAGTTATTAACCGAGCGTACACAAGGGCATGGGTTGATGCCTTCCCGAGTCCCCCAGGCCACCACTGCAAAATGATTTACACAAATCCACTAATAGCCTCATGAAAAAGATCAATCCCTCTACAAGCGAGCAACCATTAAAGGTGGTGATTAATTTCAGTAGAATGCTTGATGACAACTACCTTTGTTGAAGTCACAGTTGGGCTGTGCATGATAAATTCATCGGTTGTAGGATCGAAGGTAGCTGTAGTTTCCAATCCTTGTACATTAGAGCCATGCCCAAGTTCTGTTTGAGCATAGCACCCAATGATAGCCATCTTGTAAGCGAGTGGGAGCCATTTATGCTGTTGCTCTTCGGTACCCTGGCCCTTGATTGCAGGTATAAACATACCCTGCGCATATTAAATGCTCTTCCTAATCAGTAGTGAATGTCATCGTCACAATTGAACAACTTCGAGACCAAAATAATGCTATATTTTCATGATTAAAACGCACACCAACTGTACAATAAGACCGGGGAAACTTGTTGGACGATTTGGTGTAGACAGCTTGATTAATGTGAATTTCCTCAAACAATATGAATCAAAACTAGGTATACGAATTACAGAACAAAAGGTTACAAATAACAAGATTTTAAATTTACCCAGTGAAGGTCTGTATAAGTGGGTTCATCAACGAAATGTCGAAGCTTCAAGCCCTCCACCTCTGGAAGGACAGACAATCTCTTAGAAAACGACCAGTTCAGCATCCGAACATCCACATCCTTGGACTATAATGCAGATACGAGAATGCAAATGGCAGAACAGCAAAACTGTACCAGATAATCCCTTTTCCAAGATAGTCTTCCATGCATGACCAGCCTTCCTGAGGGAGTTTTTGTAGAGGTCCTTGCGGGCTAGCCTCACCCTGTCCTCTTTAGAAAAGACCTGAAAGAAAATATAAGTCGCTTCATGTACTCGTACCAATTTAAAACGTACGCAGCTAGAACAAGTCTGTTGCTTTAAAACTTAGCAATTCCCACACAGTAAATAATTACTAATACTTCTTAACCATCAGTTAACTTATAGTTGACGAGAGTAACATTTTATGATATGCATGCAAATTATACAATAAGCTAGATGCGATACCCCAATATTGGTATTGATGGTACTAAAAGTCTACTGTAGTTCACACACTCTGAAATTGAGTAATGAATAAATATCTACCACAAAATAAAATTCCGAAAGACGTTTATGGCAATCACGGTAGAGCGCCATTCCTTATCAAATATCCAGTAATTATCTCCCCAGAGAGAATCGGATAATTCAATCGTTCGAAGGCAATTGGAGATGCAACAAATGAGAGGAAATATAACTTTAAAATAGAGACATAGGGAACAATGACTCTGTTTAGATCTCTCTAGCTAACAAATTTTGTCACAAAAATATCCCAATTAGAGAGGCTCTAAAAAATGCGCCAATGTAAGTCGTCGAAAAAACTAAATCCAAATTACCAAACGCAATTTTAACCCTAAAAGATGGACCAACACTTCCAGGCAATGTCTACGAACAATTTCGCTTCCAAGCTTGTAGATTCTCCCCAAAAAAAAAAAAAAAAAAAAAAAAAAAAAAAAAAAAAAAAAAAAAAGAAGAAAAAAACGTAACAATAAAGAACTAAACAACAAAAACAAAATAATCATCATAATAACAATATTACTAGTGCTAAGTTTAGTTACTAAACGTAAAAAACACACACACACACACAAACTGATAACACAATAACAACAACGAAATCGTTAACCGCACCCTGCACTATATCCTCCAGCGAAAAGCCTGCTCCTCCATCTCATAAAATACTAATAAACCAGAATTGTTACGGCGAACCCCAAGCCAGCTCACCACAACCCAGTTACACATCGAAAAGGAAAAAAACACAAAAACACAAAAAAAAACAAAAAAAAAAAAAAAAAAAAAAAAAAAACACAATCATACCGGGTCGTTAGCCACAAGCTGCGCCATCTTGGTCGAGATCTCATACTCCCGCTGGCCTCCCGCCAAGTAGACCTTCATGGCCTGCAAATCGAACTGCGCCATGGCCCGCTCCCCGGCCAAATGATCCAGGCCATTCCCGTCCTGCATCTCGCCTCCGAATGAAAAATCACTCACGCACACTCAATCCCAACGTGAAACGCACCAAAAAAACGCCTTAAAAGTGCGCAAGAATTGAGACACTGCAATCCTAACACGATGCTCCACCTCGCGGTCGTGCTTCGGATGCAAAAAAGTACATTAGCAGCAGCTCCACAAGAGAGGCCAAGGCCGCACGGCTGAGCAAACGACAACAAGAGCTCTCGAAGAAACAGTGACGATCGGTCCCTTATTTGCATTACAGCCACCCAGCCCCCGTCACACAACCCCCCCCCCGCAGTGTGAACACGCGCTACTCCTAGTCTAATTACAACGGATGAAACATTGGCCAATCCCGCTTCCCTTGCTTTTGGATAATCCCGCCTCCGCGGTGTGAACACACCGCTTCTCGCCTTGTTGGACCTCCACATGGCGAGACCCCGTTGGCTCAATCCTTCGGGGGGATTAAATGCTCGTTTTTATCAGAATTAGGCCATCGACCTTGACTGGCAGCTGCTGTAGGACTGACACTTCCCCCCCCCCCCCCGTTTGATTTCATCCGCCGCATTGGTGAATATTTGTTTCCTCCTCGGATTGTTTATTTGCTTTGGCTGCTTTTACTGTGAGTGCCACGTCTCCGTAATGGTCCCGTTCGTTCCATACCTCGGGGCTTCGTTTTATCATTCTTTCCATTTTGTTCCATACAATTTGTTGTGTCTGCTGCTTCACTCTTTCGTGGCGCTTCTGGAAGTTGAGAGCCATTGCCAGAAGAGCTCTGGGCGGGGTGGAGCAGGGAAGGCAGCGACGTACCCTCATGGAAGGTTCCCGAGGGAATTGATTCCTTCGACGTGGGACAGTATGAACGGTGCCAACAAGGAAGGAAGAAAGGGTACCCCGCTGGCGAGAGTGAGGAATTGTGGATGTCAGTCAGGTCCTGAACCAGGTCACTTAATGGCGGCAGAGTAGAATGACGCCTGGAATTCTGGTCAGCACGTGACCGCCTGCCCGCGGCTCTCTCTCTTTTCTTTCTTTCACCCACCAGGGCATTTTGTTGTTAAAGGGACGGGCTGCCCAGGTGGCAAAAAAAGTGCTCATGCATTTCTTCTGCATCACATTTTACTAATAGTATTATTAAACTGGAACAATTCTGGAAAAAAAGGGAATTTATTTAAAAAAGCTGATTGAGCAATATATACATATATTTATTTATTTATTTATATGTTTATACACTAGATCGTTATTGTAAAGCTTTGTTGTAGGAAGCATCTCTGCCCATCCCACTTAATTATGTGTGTTTTGCAAACAATGATACTTCATGTTTTAATTGTTCTTAGCTTCTGTCCACCAAAGCTACCACTTTTGACACACAACAAATGAATGAGAATTGGCTGGAATCATTGTAAAGTAACACAACAAATTTGTGATGTTTTCACTTTTGACTATACTGACCATGTGCATAGTTGTCATAATCAATCAAAATGTTCTAATTATATTAATTTAAAAAATTGGTTTTAATGATATAAATATGTATTGCAAAATGTTATATTTTAATAAATAAAAAAATAATGCAATCCGAAAGATCTATATTGTTTTAAACAATTATTTGAATTTAATTATCATTTAAAAATATACATATGTACATAATTGAAGTTCAAATTTTAATTCAGTTTTTTCTTGCAATTACATACAGGAAGCTTATGCAATGAGGCACATAAAATAATATCAACGAAATGTAAGGATTTTGTAAAATTATTCCAAAATAAAGAAGGTAAAGATATTTCATAAATATATATGTACAAAAATATACTGTAATAAAATATAAATATGAAATAACTATATAATAAATGCACTTATTTCTTTCAAACTGTATTTACAAATTTAGCAATTCAATATTAAGAACTAAAGGTCAATATTCACAATTTATTTTATTTTATTTTATTTATGGTCAATGCAAACACAACCTTATCAAAAAAAAATTAATCACATTTTAAAATTATTTTTTTATAATAAAAAATTAAATACCTATAATTATTTCTTTTAGTCTTATGTATGTAGTCTTATAATAGTAAAAGAAATTTATACCAATCAAGGCTGTTATATGGAATCCATGCCATAAGATACAAAAATTATTTTGACACAAAATAAGGAAATATACAACAAGAAAGAGCAACATGTGTGAAAGAACAACATGCAATAACACAACTGTAGCTTTGACTGCCATACATGAAAGGGCAAGGTACTCTTTTACATTGTAAAAAGACATGATTGTAGCGATTTATAGTTTATATATATCACATATACAATTACAAAATAAACCATAACACATGTTTCAAAAGTATGAAATATAAACTTCTTAATATGCAACAAATGTAATTTTAATCAACTTCATATAAAAAAAAACATTTCATAATACATAAAGTAAAATAGAATGAATATTATTATTAGCTTAAGGCTGATTTTTTTTTCAAATGTGGTTACAATAGAATTTCTTTGAGGTTAAAAATTTAGCTGAATTAATCATATTTAGCATATAAAAAATGAAAAATCTTGCACCAATATTTAGTGTGTGATTTTTAAAGTAAACTATTGTGTGTTGGGCTTTATACTTCATTTTTTTGACCAACATATTACCTTAACAAAATATTCTAAGCTATAATTTTTTTTTTTTTTTTTTTTTTTTTTTTTTTTTTACCCTCCACTTATTGAGATATTATTCATATATATATATATATATATATATATATATATATATATATATATATATATATAACCATAATTGCAATATTATATATTTAAAATTTTTATATCTGAAATAAAAGAAAAAATTATGGAATTAATAAATTATTTACAATCTTATTTTTTTAATGTTCTCTATCAGCATTAGAAATAAATTTCATAATAACATGATTATATATATATATATTAATAGATATAAAAATATTTTTATATGCTAAATAAAACTGAGATTAAATTATTTCAAAATAGATCATAATTAAATAAAATATATATTACTAAAATAGAAAATCAAAACAAAGAAATCACATATTGTCTACAAAACATAATTTGTAATTTGCATGCAAACAAAAACTAATATACATATGCACATACTTAAAAAATAGTATTTGAACATCTTAATTCTTGCACCTCAAGAATCTTATGTATCCCTTCTATGTTTCAACATAAGAACTATCCCTATACTTATCTTTCATAGCTTTTGGTTTTGTCATAGTAGTGGTCAAACAATTTAATCTAAACACAATCTTTACTTTATTTGTCAATTTTCTTTGTCAATTTTATCTGTTCTTCTTCAATCTACTCTTTAAATATTCATATCTTTATGGACTTAATCTTGTCCTTGTCTTCTTTAAACTAGTTCTTCAACCATTTATTTCTTCTTCTTGTCTTCATCTTCTTTATACATCTATATCTTCATTTCATCTTGTCTTTGTCTTCTTCAACCTAGTCTTCAAACATCCATCTTCATTTTATCTTAAAACTCTTATAACTCAATACTAGACCAAAAGTATATGAAATTACATGCAAGCATCTCAATTGCACTCTCTTTTATTATGATTTTTTTTTTATTATCATAATACAAATTTGAAGCTAATAATCATAATAAGTTTCTTCCAATTATATTTAAAAATAGTAAAATTGATTATTTCTTAGTACCATAACTATCAAAGGTGGTTCTAACTACTTTAAGTTTTAACAAATGGGTAGCTAACTTCTTTTCTTTTTAATATTCTTTTATATTTTTTTAATCTTATTTACAATTATTTTTACAAGTAGTTTTTTCTAAACTTATTTTTTTCTTTTTCTTATTTCATACAAGTCTATTTTACTTCCATCTCTTTATAATACACTTTATTAATATTATTTTTTTTATTTTATTGAAATTTCTAAGATTAATAGTATTCTAATGTTAAAAAAAAAGATAATATAATCATATCAAACCTTTTAAAGATAGACATATCTTCTTTTATTTTATCATATACCAAATTTTTAAGATATTTTTGTTTTACTATAAATATTTAAAATACTTAAATTTTAATTTATTTTTAATCAAACACATCCTAATTTTAATTGACTAGTAATTATAGCTAAATAAAAAGAAGATATTATGAAAGTAGAATTTATCCTCTAAACCAAATATCATAATTGATAGTATGAAATGAATAATAAAATAAATAAGAAACAAAAAAGAATATAAACAAAACAAGTAAAAAAATTGCAAATAAATGATTATAAAATCTAAAAATTAATTATAAAATTTTCATTTGAATTTTATTTTTAAATACGTGATTTTTTATATCTCCAATAATATTAAAAAAAATATAAATATAATTTATTATAAATAAGTTATGAAGATTTAAAGATATAAAGTAAAAAATAGAAAAAAATAAATGAATGGATTTTAGCTTAAAATTAACTTACTTAAGAGGTCAAAAGTATGAACCTCACCAAAGCTAATAAAGTGGTTCAAAGGGTGTCCTAAAGAGGCCACAAGGCCTTAGTCTTATCATCTTACCCACACAAAGATGCTACAATCTATATATAAGACATGTACACCATTTTTCTTACAATTATTATATTAGTTGTTAGTCCTTTTATATAATATATATATATTTAAAATTTTGCTTTACCATAGTTTTTAAAAATACCAAATTAACTTAAGAACTTATTTTTATTTTTATTTTTATTTTTTTTTATACTCAAATTCTTCACAACAACGTCACAATGAAATAGGACCAATCTATCTTGAGAATCTAAGACTCTTCTAATCTATAGCAATATAAAACCTCATCACAAAGTATGACAAAATGGACCGAAATAAAGTTGAATAAAATTAAACAAAATAGGATATGTAGAATGGGTAGGATCTTTATGTCTTATAATACATTGTATGTAGGATTAAAAAAAAACCAGTAAACTAATGAATGGATAGTTTAGAGGTTATAATAGATGATTAGAAAGGAAAAGAAGTTAATATCGGATGTGTAATATTTGGTATCTAGGGATAAGTATAAATCTGTTGAAGAAGAAGTAGAAGGGGCCAAGACTATGAGAGTTTAGAGCTAGGAGTAAGTTTGGTGCTACCCCTTGTTTTTCTTTGTTTTATTTTTTTTTGTAATAACACTAGAGTTGAGAGATTGGAATCCATTTTAATTATTGAATAATTTAAACCAAGAGTATTGTAATGAAATAGAAATTGGATTTATATTTTGTTGAGTAAGAAAGTA